GGCCTGTGTCTATGTTCTTGACATGTACTGCAGGACCTCACCTTGTCTTCAATGTCATTCTCCATATGCGGCCACCACATGTAACTTCTGGCCAGGCCCATCATTCGGCTCATTCCTGGGTGTGACTGATGTAGCTGTTCCAACAGGGGGCATCGACCTCGTTCTGGTATCACCACCCTCGCCCCCCACAGCACACACCCATCCTGCACACTCAGCTCCTGTTGTCTCTAGTGGGCCATCCCCTCAAAGCATACTCACGCACTCTGGAGAGTATGGGATCTTTGGTTGTCCATCTTTGCAGCTGCTCAGATGTCATCACGCCCTCCTGGTCCTGATCTACCATCAACACTTGGTCCTCAGCTGCCACCTCTTTAGGGAGGTTCTCTGGAAGAGGGAGACGACTCAGACCATCAGCATTACTGTTATTTTTGCCTTCTCTGTATTTAATGACATACTCAGGCTCTTAATAACACCGCCCATCGCATGATCCTCTGTGACGCCATCTGAGGGACGGCCTTCAACTCATGGAACAAACTTATCAATGGCTTATGATCCGTGATAATCATGAACTTCCTGCCGTACAGGTACTTATGAAAATACTGTACACCAAATATTACAGCCAATCCTCCTTTATCCAGCTGTGAGTAGTTCTTTTCTGCTGCATTCAGGGTACGCGATGCAAACCCAATGGGTTTTTCCTGACCATCTGGCATGCGGTGAGCTAGTACTGCTCCCACTCCATAGGGGGACGCATCGCAAGAAAGAATTAAATCCTTTTGCTCATCATAGTGTACCAATACACTGCTTGACTGCAACAGTTCCTTTGATTTGCAGAAAACCTTCTCCTGTGTTGGTCCCCAACACCATGGTTCCCCCTTTCTCAGAAGCTTGTGCAGTGGGGCCAACAGTGTGGACAAATTTGGCAAGAACTTATTATAGAAGTTCAACAACCCCAAATAAGCTTTGAGCTCTGTCACTGATTTTGGGGGTGGCGCCTCCTGCACTGCTTTCACTTTTGCTGGCACTGGATGTAAACCGGTCTTATCCACCCGATGTCCTAAAAATGTCACTTCCTTCTCCATGAATTGACATTTGCTCCTTTTTAAGTGCAGGCCCGCCTCCTCCAACCGCTGCAGCACTCCATCCAGTGTTTGAAGATGTTCTTTGTCATTCTTTCCCGTCAGGATGATGTCATCCAGATACACTGCGACATTGGTCAGACCTTGCAACACACTCTCCATGGTGCGCTGAAAAATGGCAGGACTTGAACTCACACCAAATGGCAACCTGGTGTATGTAAACAAACCCCTGTGTGTGTTCACTGTGACATACTTTCTAGATTCCTCATCAAGTACAACCTGTTGTATGCGTGACTCATATCTAACTTGGTGTATTTTTCTCCTCCCGCCAGCCCCGCTATCATGTCCTCCATTCGTGGAATGGGGTATTGTTCTACAGGCGACACCTTGTTAACAGTCAGTTTGTAGTCACCACAAATTCTGGCGCTGGAGTCTGGCTTTAGTATGGGTACAATGGGTGCGGCCCACTCTGAGAATTTCACTGGTTGGATGATCTTCTCCTCCAACAGTCTCTCCAGTTCCTGCTCCACTTTCTTTTTCATAGCAAACGGAACTGATCGGGGCTTATAGAAGCACGGTTTGGCATCACTGGCTACATGTATCTTTGCTGCAAACCCCTTCAGCGTTCCCAACTCATCCTTAAACACTGTTTCATGTCTGGCCAGTATCCGCTGTAAGGCATCATCTCTGCCTTCTATCTTATGTACAGGTTGCCAGTCTAATTGGAGGGCCTTAATCCATCCCCGACCCATCAAACTAGTTCCAGCCCCTTCAACCACCACCACATCCAGTGTTTTTTTTACTGTCTCTGAATTCCACCTGCACTTGGGCTGCTCCCCACACGGGTACCTTGTGGCCTCCATACGTTCTCAGTTTGATTCCACACTTGCTTACTTTGGGCGCCTTACTGCCTTCAAAAAGTTTTTTGAATGACTCCTTCGACATGATAGTGTAACCACAGCCTGTGTCTACTTCAAATGTCACATTCTGTCCATTTACTTTTAGCTTCTGTCTGATGGGTTCTTCCCTTGGGATGCTAATCTCCTCATGCACATTATACATAGTCACTCTTGCCTTTATGTGGTGCATTTCAGCTCCTTCTTCCTCACTCTCCACATTCTCCTCTTCCAAGAAATGGGCTTGTTTACCTTGTCTGCCACGCCCTCCTTTTTGTTCCATTTTCATTCGGCAGACCCTTTTTATGTGTCCCACCTTTCCACAGTTGTGGCATTTTTCTGAAACAAACCTGCAGTCCTTGGCCACATGATTTAGCCCTCCACATCTGTAGCACTTCCTGACAACCTGTTGTGACGTCGAGCCGCCCTCCTCCATCTTGTTCACTGCTCCTAATCCTTTAGTGAATCGCGACTGTTCCGTCATGCTCTTCAAATCCACAATGTCTCTGTTAGCAGCCTCCATTGCTTGAGCAAACTTCAGCGCCTTTTCAAATGTTAGCAAATCCTCTGCTAACAATCTGTGCTGTATTCTGTCGTCGCTTATTCCACATATTAAACGATCCCGCAGCATCACCGTCAGGGAGTCTCCAAAGTTACAGTCCTGTGCGAGCTTCCTCAGCTCCGCTACATAATCGCCCACACTTTCCTCCGGCCTTCTATTCCGTGTGTTAAACTTCCACCGCTGCACAATTTCACTCGGCTTAGGGTGAAAATGATTGTTCAATAATCCCACCAACTCAGCATAAGAACGATCCCCTGGCTTGACCGGACTGAGTAGGTTCCTAATCAGGGCATAGGTCTGTGCCTTCCATTTCCACAGTGTAACATCCAACCACCTGTGTAAAAAGCGAAATTCCCATGGTGTTGTTCAAAATGTGCTCTGGCACAATCATAACCATGGCTTGCTACTGAAAACAAGAAAAAAGCCGGTGTTGCTATGGGCTGAACCATTTGTTAATGGTGGAGGGGGGAACACTATGCAATATATTCAGTTTTAGCATTTATATTCACTGTAACTACGCTCAAACTGTTAGTGTTGTTTATTAAAATAAGATAGCATTGTCATATGCAAAACTGGGGTGGCACTTGGGGTGGCAAGGGATTATTTTAGGGTAGCACTTGCCACTAGGAAGTTTCACTTCCTACGTGTTTGCATCACCATGCTAACTGATTCTGCAGACGATCATCACAAACCAGCTTCAGACCTGAAAACACTCACCTGCTACAGCATGCACCACTGATCCATTATCTATCTGTCTGACTGATTGATTGACTGATGGACTGATTGGTTGATTGACTGGTATTGACAGCGGGGTGAGAGGAGCTGATGGTAAATGTACCTCCTCACAGGAAACCATGTCGATCATCCCACGACCTGCGGTCTGATCATAACTCCAGGCTGCTGAAAGAGTGCTCGCTGCAGCAGCTAAACGAGGACGAGCTCTTCCTGCTGCTGCTGCTCAACGACCCGGCGCTGCTGCCCGAGGTAACGCCCACACCTCACTCACCTGACGTCACAGGCTGTTCCTCAGGAGACGTGCTCAGTGTTAGCAGATGAAACGACTCTGCCCTTTACACAAGAAACGCAACTGTGCACAGATTCGTGGGACGCTCCTGAAGAAAAAAAAAGTGAATAAGAAAGTGATGAGACGCAGCATGTATGAGATCACCATGGCAACAGACACCATTTGTTTGCCTCACATGAGGACACAGAGCTTCTTTAGTCACGTAACATCCACGGAAGAAGAAACTGAAACTGAAAGTAAAACAAAAAAAACAAAAATCAAAAATCAAAAATGAAAATCGAAAGTTGGACATGACCGAGGATCTTCAGGTAACCAGAAACTAATGCAGGGGGGTCATTTTACACAGCGGGCCACATAAAGCGAACTTTGACCTTTTAAGTGGGTTGGACCAGTGAAACTTTTGTCAGTGTTCTCAGCAGGGCTGAAGACCCGACTCCCGCGTACTGACCCGCCTTTCCCTGTTAATGCCCTACCTGGCCCCCCTGGCAAAACTTTGCTAGACCCGCCCCTGCACAGTTACCAGCTGTCAGCTATGTAGAACAAGATCCTGGTGTTATTTGCCTCTCAGAAACAGTTCATAACTTCCCTTCAAATCATTCCTGTCACCTAAAAGGTAAACCTGTTTCTCCACCACCTGTTCAACTCTGATGATTCAGTAAGGACATCTCCTGGTTTCATCTTCACCACATATCCAAACCAGCAGCTGTTACAGCTGTGGCTCCAACAAACATCAGCTGATACTAGAAATTAATATTAAATAAATTCTAACAACAGCTGATCAAGCTTAAACGTGCTGCTGTTGTTTAGCGCAACATCTGGTGGTTTCCTCTTTCTGGTGCAAAGTGGGCCAAACAGGTGGGCCAAAGAGAGATGAGACTTGAGACAGAAAAGCCAATCAGCTGATCATTGATCAGTTTCATGGTTGAAGTAGCAACATGAGAGGGAAGGGGAGAGAATGAGAGAAGAAGAGGCAGCTGACAGCGTAAAGACAGTATAACTCCAGCGTTGTCTCTTTTTTCATTCTAGCTGAAGTACGGGACAAATCGCGTTCCTTTTCACCGCAATACGGATGTATTGTAATTGGTCCAGCCCAGAGTAGATCATGACTAATTGGCCAATCCACCACCTTCCATTGTTTATACCGTTACAAAACAAACAAACAACCCAAAACAAACATCGGCCCATTAAAAGCGAGAAATCACCATCCACCCATCGGGCAAATGGAATGCCCGATGGCCAGTCCAGCTGTGACTGGCATATGAATGTATCTCACGGGCTGTAAGTTTGACAACCCTTACTCTAATCATTTATGTATCCTATTTAGCCGAGTCTGCATTTACTTCATCACTTCAACATTTGTGACGTTTGTGACAAACACTGCTTTTAAGGGACTTTCAGTAAAAATGTGATTGACAGCTGGATCCTTAAAAAAATCACACACACTCTCTCTAACCCAATCATGAAGGCTCTGTATGTTTTCTCTCTCTCTCTCTCGCTCTCGCTCGCTCGCTCGCTCAGGTGTGTGTGCACTATAACAAAGGCTCGGGGCCTCACGGCTGCTGTAGTTTCCAGGGCGACTGCACCAAAGTGCACCTGTGCCAGCACTTCGTGCAGGGCGACTGCATCTTTGGAAAAAAGTGCAAACGGTTGCATGCCGTTGACGAGCGCGGCCGCCACATGCTGGAGGAGAGAGGACTGAGCTGTGACATCATCCACAACCTGCCTTCCATCTACAGCAACATCCACCAGCTCAGAGCGGCCTCCACCTCCACCACCTCCATGGGTGAGACTGAAGCCTGAAACAGAACCTGCTGATCCTGAGAACCTTGACCGTCTAATCACTGTGAGGATAGAGGAGGAAACCTGCAGATCAGGAAAAGTCAGATCAGTATTAGAAATCTGCTCCATAAAGAGGAGAAAATAATTCCATAAATATGGAAGAAAAAAAGCCTTTTATACAAGCGAATACTGCCTCACAGACACAACAATGTCTCCTCACTGAAGTCATAATTGCCAAAAATATAAATAATGTTACGAAGCTGGTGTTTCAGTGTGATAATCTGATAATGCTACACAAATATGAGGAGGTTATCCATAAACATGACACAAGATTCAGATTTCATACATGGCGTTCAGTGTCTATGTGTGTGTTATTACCTGATTACATGTTACTGACGTGAACACAAGGAGGAGCTCTGTACCCTGACTTCGGCTCTTTATGTTTCAGACATTGTTCCTGAGCCGTCTCACCCTCTGGAGATCTGCCTGCACTTCTTCAGGAACAGCTGCAAGTTTCAGGGTGAGTTCTCCTACTTTCTTCATGCGAGGATCTGATTGGCTGAGAGGAAACGGCACACAGGAAGTCTCTTTCAGCCTCCCGCTGTGCACTTAGTCGTGTGCATCCAGTAGGTGGCAGCACAGGGTAGAAGTACAGACTCCAACATGAAGCTGACTCACTCTTTATAAATAAAGATTTATTTGTTTTCTCACTAAAACCTAAAATATTTTTCGTGCCTTGCTGGCATCTGATTGGTTTCTCTGGAAACGTACAGTTTAAAATATCAAATTTTCTTTTATTTAATCTTCTTCAGTGCAAATATTTAATGTATATACATGACATCATGTTCAAAAGAGTTGAAGTTTATAAATTATAATTTATTCAAATTTGTCTTCCTAGATAACGTTTTCTGTCAAATCTGCCAGTGGGGAAAAAATGTATTATTTTGTTATCATTGTTTTGATTTCCTTTATTTTTCATCTGTACAGTCCTGTTTGATTGTGTTATTTATTTTTAATTATTAATATTTTATTATTAATATCATTTTTGTTATTTTGTGATTGTATGATTGTGTGATTTTTATGATTTCCTGCTGGTTGCGCTGAGTTTTCTGTGGGCGTGTTCGTGCTCATTGGCCTCGCCTCAGTCTTTCGGTCTCTCTGCAGACTCGTGCCTGCAGGTGCACTTCCACCTGCCGTATAAGTGGGAGGTTCTAGATGGCAGCACCTGGACGGAGCTGCAGAACATGGAGGACATTGAGCGAGACTTCTGCGACCCGTCCAGGACTGAGAGGTCAGAGGTCACAATGAGTGCAAGTTGTTGATGTTTTTCATGCATCAGCCACTCACAGCTGCCATGTTTTTCAGCGCTGGTGTTCAGACCATCGACTTCATCACGATGACTCGAGGGATGCAGCCTGTTCGCCGTCTCTCCACAGTTTCCTCCGTGAAGAAGCCGTTATACTACACACTGACCACCAAATGGCTGTGGTACTACAAGGGGGACCGTGGGAACTGGGTGGAATATGGAGAGTTGGTGAGTTGGAGCACCTTTAGGATCACTGTGTGGGAGCGAGCTGTAGAGGAATACAGAAAATGTTTATTTAGCTCCAGGTCTGATGTCTGTCTCGTACGTCCTTCAGGATGAGAAGCTGCGCTCCACATCGGAGACATCCTGCACTCTGGAGAAGAAGTACCTGTCTGACAGAAGAGCTGAAGTCAGAGTGGTGAAAGGCTACAGAGAGTACATCATCAGCTTCAAAGGTACTACTTCCTGTCACCTGCATCCCAGGTGTAACTGTGAGTTAATGAAGTGGTCAGGTTAGGCCCAGAACAAGTCCAGCATCCCTCCATGTGGGGACTCACAGTTCCACAGTGAGTGCCACAGTCAGGGCAGGAAAGTCAGAGGTGACGATTCCAACAGAAACTTCCAGAATCCCAGAATGAAGTTTTGGGAATGTCCCAGACACAATGGCATGCCCTGATTCAGCACATAGACACATCCCAGCCTTTAGGCTTCAGGTCCCAGTGTGTTCCTCTGTTACCGCTTCCTGATGGTGTCTAAGCATGTTCTCTATCTCTCTGCAGACATGTACCAGAGGAACCACAAGCACAACACCAAGAGGAAAGTCCGCCGTCGCCCTCGCTTCGTCTCCCGGGAGGAGGTGGAGAGGCAGGTGCCGGTGTTAGGAAGTCAAATGTGACCCGATTATGTTGACTGGACCAGGCTGGGTGCCTTATCACAGTAGCAGGTGCTGCTGCTCAAGATTTCATCACTTCCTGGACGTCTGTAAATGATTACTGATGCATTCACTGAGCATGTTAACCACTTCTATTATTTTCTGCTTCTCTGCGTGTATGTGCCTGTGTGGGGGAAATTTATTCTACCTGTATTTCTATTTTTGTATGGGCTTTAGGCAATATAAAGCACCTTGAGGTCACTGTTGTTAATTTGGTGCTGTAAATAAAATGGAGTGATTCTTACTGGAGCCTTTTATTAATATCTTTAGTTTGAGCTCTGTGGCTCTCTCAGCTGCAGGACGATCTGGTGTCAGAGACTCTGAGTCTACCTTTCTTTTTATTTGGTGTCCTCATCCATAATTTCCTTAAACCAACAGTTTGAAAATTGAGTCATGTGATCACAGAATCCTGGTGACCCCTCACAGACCCAAAGAAACGGCCGCGATCGTTAACTGAACTAAATATGAAACGTTACTGCAGACTCAAACTTCAGCACAGACAGGAACGCCCGTGACGTCGGTCCGTTCAGAGCAGGCTTCCTCTATTATGGCTGCACTGTTCTCGAGTATCAGCTGTTCTCTGTAGGAGTGCTCAGTTCATCTTTAAGGTGAAAATACGGAGGGTGACCTTCAACAGAAACAGCAGCATTCAAATAAACTGGTTGGTATCTTAATCTTTTCCAGTCTAACTGACCAATCAGAGCACTTTATTACTCACATTCACACACCTGAATTAAGTCAGCTGTTACCAAACACACACGCAGAGCCCAATAACTGACCACGGGATTCAAACCCACAACCTTCCTGCTAACCAGTGCACCGCTGTGCCCGTGGCCCAGGTCTGCATGAAGCATAAAAACATGAGCAGAGTCTGTGCGTTTGTGTGTGTGTGTGTGTGTGTGCGCGAGTGTGTGTGTGTGTGTGTGCGTGCGAAGAGAGAGAGCAGAGCGAGAGAGAGAGAGCGAGAGAGCGAGAGAGAGAGAGTGTGTGCGTGCGTGCGAGAGAGAGAGAGAGCGAGAGAGAGAGAGAGAGTGTGTGTGCGTGCGTGCGAGAGAGAGAGAGAGCGTGTGTGTGTTTTTGTTGGCTTCATAAAATAAAAGCTGAGCAGTTCTCTGCTGTTTCATTTTCATGGTCAGATCCGGCTGTCCTGGCCCTGTGCCGGTGCCGGTGCGGGTTCAAATAACGGTCCGTGTGTGAGAAGAAGCGCTTTGACTTGCAGGTCGGGTCAGATGATGCTGGGAGGGGCCGGCTGGACTGGTACCGGGACCGGACGCGCTGTGAATGTGACGGGTTCGGACAGCACAGACACCACCGGGCGGTGGAGGCTGATTGCTGCTGTTTCCGAGGAGGAGAAGAGGAGGAGGTGTGATTCTGCGGGGACTCTCCGCCTCCTTCTTCTTCCCCACGCAGGGAGCGCGCTGCGCGGCTTGGAGAGGCGTGACGCGCCCGAACCGCATCTCCAGGATGGCAGGTAGGTCTCCGCCGTGGCAGAGACTCAGTGAGAATAGCCCGGCTCGGCTCGGCCCGGCCCGGCCCGGCTTGCAGTCTGAATGTGATCCCGGGTCTGCGGCTCTGTGTGTCCGCGGCCGCTATAAGAAGCGAGGCTCCTTAAGCCGTGCACCGGAGGCAGCGTCGTCCTCACGGTAAACTGGGCCGTGCCGGACCGGACCGGAGCGTGCCGGGGGAAGGGGGAGGGGGGCATATCAGCCCCAGACACGAACATGCGGGGCGGATGCAGCCTCCACCTCGCGGACTCGGCGGGCGGGTGGAGGCTGTTAGCATCTGTCCGATAATGGGGTCAATCTGAGAGGAGGCCGAGCCGGGCCAGACCGGCAGAGGAGTGAGTGTTCTGGAAACGGAGCCGAGCAGAGCACAAAAACCCGGACTGACAGAGAATATACCAACCTGTCACTTTATTAGGCACAGTTGTGAAAGCCGGTCAGACAAACAGCTGGATACCTTTTAAATATTCACCGTCACGTATTTGTGGTTTCACTTATTGATCGATGGTTGATTTATTGACTGATTGATCATTTTTGAAGGTTCTTTATGCAAACACGTGAAATCCTTCAAACCGACATTTTCATGTTTTGCGCAAACAGAAAAATCCCCGCAGGTGGAGGCGAGCCTGAAGCCTCCTGCTTCAGCCGCACACCCTCGTAGGCTCCGGGGTCTGGGACAGTGACCCATTTGTAATCGTGCTCTGCAGAGAAAGCAGAGCTCCCTTTTTGCTCGGTAATGAGGGGCTGTGAGGAGCAGCAGGGATCACGTGACACTGCGTGTAATCTCTTTATTAATATTACCTGAGAGCTGTCCTCAGCTCAGCCTGGTTACGATGAGCTGACTCACAGGGAAGTGCTGATGTTAAAGTTGAGACGAGATCAGAAATATGTGCAGATTAAAGCCCCGCTAGCCTTCATCACAAACCTGGACAATGAAGTAATAAGTCAGTGGTCCAGATGCTCCACCCGCAGGTTGGAGCAGGTCTTCATCATCTTCACAGAGAAAGTGTTTCAGGTTCAGAGTTAGACTGTAGCCTAAGCCTAGATGTTCTGGGTTTATGTCCTCCACCCTTCCAGAATGAAGGATGTGAAGCTGCTGAAATCAGGTGATTCGGGTGTGAGGGTCCAGCAGCACGTACATGTTTAACTGACCTTCTGATGGTGTGGCAGCCCTGATCCTGACCCCGCTCTGCATGCTGTCAGAAATGTCAGCTGTGATCTTCATTCAGACCTGAGCTGCTCTCGAAGCAACATCAAAGCATTTTTAGCGCTCCGTGTTTCAGTTTCAGAGGGGTTTTATCCAGGCTGAACAGCCCCAGTTTAAGGTACCTAATTCTTTACGAGTACAGTTTGAAATATTAGACTAACATCATTCTGTGTCTTTGTTGTCCCGTCCATCCACCCGACCTCCTCCCTGCAGCCTTCAGCACCAAGAACACCCTAAAACCAAATGAATGAGCATGTTCCACAGTCTTTAGGTCGTGGGTTTGTCATGGGGTGGCTTTAGACGTTTTCATGCTGTCCTCCAAAATAAGACATCAGGACACCAAGCACCAAGCACTTCCACCACTAGAGGGCACAGTCACAGTAAAATGTTTGCTGCAGGGTCTATAGCACGTAAAAACCTTCAGATCCTTTAAGCAGAGGATTTTGGGGGATTTTACCCCTGAACCGTAAAAGTCCGATGGGGTATGTCGTCATGGCACTGGGGGGCAGCGAGGACACCCAAGTTTGTAAATGTAATAACTCAAGAATGAGGTGATGTAGGAGTTTGTTTATGACATACGTGCATCTACTTGGAGTCTTTTGAGTCTTTGCTGCAAGTCTTTGTCTGTTTTCAAAGCAGCACGTCTGCTTCACAATGAATGCTTCTACAGCACCGCCTGTCCCTGGGTTCCTACTTTTTCACTGCTTCAGAGTCTTCTCAGCTTCTTGCTGGACTGTAATGAGGCACTTTAGTGTTTTTCTTTCATCACCTTTACCTTTGCAGCAAAGCTCTCACAGACGGTGTGCATCGAGAATATTGGTCTCTCTCCTATCTGACAGTGTCAGTCCATAAACACTGGTTTCAGCATCAGACCTAAACATCCACAGCAGGCCAGCTGTAGTCTGAGTTGGAGCAGGGAGGAGGTCAGGGTGGATGGAAGGGTATCAGAACTTGCTGGGACTTTAGTTCGGAGACAAAAGCTAATGCGTCAGGCTGATAGTTAGATTTGTTATTTCAAACTTTGATGAATTGTTTCAACTATGAACCTTCCCATCAGAGGGTCACACACTACTCCACACAACTTTACAGCCTTTATTTTTAAAGTAACTAACGATGAAGGTAAAAAAGAGTTTTAGCTGAATCTTTCCTGATCCGTTTGATGATGTCATCATCCAGCAGGAGAATGTTCTCCTGTGCTCGGTGAGAACCCTGCAGGACACACATTTTCTGACTGCTGTTCTATGCTACTCAGGTCCTCCTGAGGGGCCTTCGGCTCTTTGTAGCGGGACCGCACCGCCGGTCCTTTGAGGACGATGGACGCTGTGACCTCGCCAGGCCCCAGCTCCAGCACCAGGACCAGGATGGAACGCAGAACCTCGGCCTGCAGACAAACACTAGGTGTGGTCCTGCTGGTGGCTGGCACATTGGTTTCCATGGTGACCTCAAGTTCACCTGCTGCAGGTAACCTTGCTAGGTGCTGTTAGCTGTTAATGTTGACCTCTGACCTCTGAGCCATCTGTACACAGCAGGAAATGAACATGGACTTCCTCAAAAGGACTGCAGTGCAGGAATCTTCTTCTGAGTCTCATTTTAGCTCCATATTGTCATCCTCCCACATTACTGACTCACGCACACACAGAGTCACATGACCTGCTGATGTCAGACTGTGGAGGTTTACACTGACATCAGCTGATCAGATGTAGGCAGCAGGAAGCTGCTTCATCACAAACAGCTCTCAGAGGTCAGCTGGTTGTGACTGTGTTGGTGTGATGTCATTTTTAGTCCTGAAACGTCACTTGACATTTCAGGACTTGTGTTAGAGATGACAGATTCGGGGAGTGTGTGTTTATTATAGCGCCCTCTGTGGATCACATGTTGCATTATGGATGTCAGATTTCAACCCATGGCTGTGTTTTAATTCAGACTGAAGATGAGTTTGTCCAACCTGATGAAGACGTAGAAACTTGTTTCAGTGCACTGAAAGAAAAACCACAAACATCACATGGTCATACATCCACAATGAAATGTAGCTCAATTCCCTGGGCTAATTTTTTTATTCTCCACCTGCTCTTCTATAGAGCACCTGTGCCATGAGACGTCAGAGCTACGCAGATGTGAAATAAAACAGATGTGAGAGCTCAGCAAGCACATAATGAACGCTTAGTGAATAAAAAACTGTAAATAAACAAAGTGAAGTGGGAAGCCTGAGATGGTCTAAGCATGGGCAGAGGATGAAGATGGAGGAGAAAAGGAACACCTCAGAGGAGGTTCATAGATGTAGTGAAGGAGGACTGCTGAGTTGTCAGTGTGAGAGGAGGATGCTGGGAGATGGAGGCAGATGATCCACTTTGGCACCCCCTAATGGAAGCAGGTGAAAGAAGAATAAGGTTTACTGCTGAGGAGATTATCTATAATACTATCGTGTCATATTTGAGTAGATTTATATTTTAGACTGCAAATCAGAAGGACCCAACGCTTTAAAATAAATGTGATGGAGTACAGAAGCAGATGTGCTGCCATAAAACACCTCAGCCACAGCTGTTCTGTGAGGGCACCTCAGAGTCAGGAATAACAGGAGATGTTTCTCAGAGCTGAGAGCAGTAAATACAGGAGCTCAGATAAATGCAGGTTAGCAGTTAGCCTAGTGCATCAATCTGAAGAGATTCTTTATAATTAAAAAATGATAAATATTTTCTGCATCTATCGATCTATCAGTCTGTCTGTCTGTGTGTGAGAGGGCGTCGTCTCCTGAATACCAATGACTCGTCTCTGTTCTGCATGTGATGCTGCCGCAAAGCACGGCGTCACCACGGCAACAAGGCCAAGACCAGATGAAAGAGACCCAGTCAAGGCTGTGTGTGTGTGTGTGTGTGTGTGTGCGTACGTCATAAAGACAAATGGTTTTAAAGAGACTGCAAGGGAGGAAAAAGAGGAGTGTGTTTCTGCTGTGTGAATGAATGCTGTTAAGAAGCTGAACCAGCTCGGTCTCATTAAGGTGATCTGTGTTTGTGACGCTTTGTCATTTCAGAGTTTATTCTTTATATTGTGCTGTGATCAGTTTCAAATCATAATTCAAAAATACTAATATGTTTGTAAAAACGAGTGTGCCACTGGCAGAGGTCAAAAGAAATGAAGTGCAAATACTTCATTACTGTACTTACTTACAGATTTTAGGTATCTGCACATTTTTTTTCCTGACGACTTTTACTCCCTACATTTTAAATAAGTATCTGAGATTTCTATTCCTTACATTTTCAAAACAGGCTCATTAGTTTCGGTTTACAGCCCTTTCTTTGAGCTGCTGTATTTCACAGGGAGAGAAAAGAAAGCTTAAAGGTTTTTGCATCAGATATTGGGTTTGTACATGTGAAATTATGTTTCTTCATATTGTGAATCATGCTGCTAAACAAACTGAGGTAGACTTAACTGAGTTATTTAAAGGCTGCATGAAAATCCTCTGCAAGTTAGTGCAGGATAAGCAGGTTAGTTTGCTGAACTGTGATGGATTTAAAGTAGAAAACAATGATATAAACGATATAAAGACAGCATAAACAGTGTACTGTCAGTGTATGGAAATCAGCCAGAACAACTCATGAAACATCTGCTCACATCTGGTTGAATTCAGGTGTGTAAACCCGCAAAGAGCAGCAGGTCAGCTGATCACAGCCTGTACATTAAGAAAATCTACTGGAGCTCTCAGTAGAAAGTATTGTGAGTTCGATTTTTTTCCTCACACTGAGCCACTAAAACTGATTTTTTAGTGTTCCCCCACCTGCTGAATCCACTTTAACCCGTGACTGTAGTCATTTCCTGTTTAGAGCAAAGTCACCCTCTACAATGCAGGCACCAGAAAACAGATATATTTTTTATTTTCCTTCTTTTTGTTCAGATTAAAGCTGACTGCAAAAACAGACTAAAGTTTGTGTTCCCATCTACAGATACTATTTTACCTTTATGTTAATATAGCACAAAGTTCAGTTAGATTTGCACAAAAATAGAAACGTCCTCCATAGATCTGCTTTTACTTTCTTACTTTTTACTTAGGTTTATTCAGGGTCCCTAGGTTCTTACCAGTCCTCAGGTTTATTCGGGTCTTCAGGGTCTTCAGATTTGTTCATGTTTATCAGTTTCTTTCAGGGTCCTTCAGGTTTATTCCCTCGTGTTTGGTAACAATGTGGTTATGGCACACGCTCACTCTTTAGGTATAATGTTGAGCTTTTAAATTCACGACTTCTGTCCTTCTGGCCCACAGTTGTGCTGGAATTCAACAGAACGACTGATTCTTCGTCACATCCGTTATCACCATCATCATCCTCCACCTCTTCTAGACCCTCACCTCCCAGCCACCCCTCAGACTCTGGATACCACAGTAACGGTGGTGGTGCAGGCTCAGCAGAGGACCCAGACTCTGGTGCTCAGGGGATCCACCTCCTCCTGAGACCTCCAGACCTCCTGTCCCCCAGTCTACCTCCACCACTTCCCCCACATAGCCAGCCCACCCTCACTCCTCCTCCCCCCTGGGAACAGGGGCCCTCACTGGAGGAGGCCTGGGGGTCTGGGGACTACCTGGAGACTCTGTCCTTCATGGTACCTGAAGGTGACGAGATGGCCCTCGCCACGCCACTGCCCAGCCACCCCTATGATGGGGACAATGGGGGGGACTGGGTCTCTTATGACACCTCCTTTCCTGCTCGCCCCACCCTCTCACTGTCATCCAAACTTCCCCTCTCCCCCTCCTCCTCAACCCCCAACATTCCCCTTCACACTCAGCCTGCCCATCCGGATGTCTTCCCCACCTGGGATGAGGACTATGACTTGGAGGACATGATCCCACTGGAGCCGACGGAGTTGCTGCTGCCTGACATGAACAGTCTGGAGTACTACACAAACCTGTTGGCTCGGGAGAGGGAGAAGGAGAGGGAGAGGGAGAGGGAGAGGGAGAAGGAGAAGGAGAAGGAGAGGGAAAAGGTAAATGAGAACGACTCCAAACCTGTCCTTACACCTACAGCAACACACACCCACCATCCTCCTTCTACCCCATCCTCGAGCCCCATTGCTCCTCTAGGATTGGAGCCTAAGCATCCCCCAAGACAGCCCACACCTCCCCTCATCCTTACACCTATCCTCACAGGTGAGGAGAAGACACCTGCTCCATCAGCCACCCCCAAGATCCCTTCCACCCCTACTGCTCTTGCTCCAAAACACAAAGACTATGTCTCGGTCCCAAGCAGGCACCCTTCCCGACCCCCGTCCAACACCACCAGCTGGGTGCCTCCCCCTCCACCGCTGGGACCCCCCACCCGCCCTGAGAGGCCAGAGAGGCCCACAGTGGTCACTGAGATGCCAGCAAAGGCTCCTCCCACCAAGGCTGCAACCACTACTAAGGCTACCACGACAACAACCACCGCCATCATCACCACCACCCAAATCACAGCCATCAGCCTGACCAGAGCCCCTCCAGTCACCACACCCAGAGTGGCCCAGACACCACCCACCAGACAATACCTGTGCAATGTCACCAAGCCAGAAATGTACCTGGTCAGAGTAGGTAAGAGTCTTAGAAGGTCATGTGACCGTACCTCCAGGTGCTGCACATGTTCTGTCTAATCACTGATGTCTTCCATGTTTGTGTGCCCTGCAGTCAGCTCCAAAGGCTCGTCTGCTGGTTTCAGTCAGGTCCGAGATCTTCTGAAAAAAGACTTCAACCGCTCAGTGGAGCTGCAGGTACAAACAGAATCGCTGCTTCTCAGATCTGCATGATTCCGTCCTGCTGATGCTGACTGTGGTTTCCCCTCACAGTCAAGCTCCTGCTTCACAGACTTCACATGAAACAGGCTAATCCCAGCCCGTCCTCTAATGTTCTCGCTCTGAAGTGTTTGTTTTTAGCTCATTCGGCTGCAGTCACAAGAATCACTACTCTATCTGCAGTACTGGTCAGAATTTAGTCAAACACACAGACAATGATCGGCTAATATTTGTCTTTCTCACTGGATTTTCTTCCTCATTAGTTTGTCCAAAGCAACCAACCAATGACCAGAGACTGATCTCTGTGTGTTACTGTGTCACTGACGTTCTGGTTCATGCTTATGTGGAGTTTGCGTTGTGCTGGGAGCCAGTCATTTATTAACTTTGTAATAGTGAACTCTGTTTCTAAGCTAATGTTAGCTTGTTGTTTACTGGGAGCAGAGGCATCGAGACACTTGGAGTATAAACCTGACATCCTTTAGATTTTAGTCTTTCACATAGAAATCAGTCCATAGACTGTTAGAGGCAGCAGGAGAAGGTCCAAGCTTTTAAATTACACAAAAATCAATAAAAACCATTTAATCCATGAAAATATGCCATCTGATGCATACTTTTCTTTATTTTTTTAAATGCCTTCTCTTTCAATTATTCATTTACTTTACTGAATCCTTATTAGATATTAAGCTAAACTTAAAAATTGTTAATAACTTTCCACTCTCCCCTGGTTGTTTCCTTTTCAGTTCCTAAGAACTCCATCCAGTTTTGCCTTTCGCGTTGTGTCGGGACCGCTGATCTTCACTGCCATGTCCGTCATCAATGCCCTCCGCCGACCGCCGCCACGCTTCGGCCCCATTCCCACAGTTTCACCACTGTACACCATACCTGACCTCAGGTATCAGATCCACTCTGTGCTGCAGTTTGTTCCCACTCATGTTGACATCCGAGTCTGCAACTTCAGTGAACGGGTGGAGAGAGGGCTCACCATGGCGTACGCAGAGACACGGAAGAGATTACATGAGGGAGGGAACGCCACCGTACAGGTGAGTTTGCTTCGTGTGTGGTCACCATTTAAAGCCGTTCGCTTTTCTAATTTCTTTTACTTCTTCACACAGTTGCTGAACATCACCATAAGCGTGGCCCGGCCAGCGGTGGAGCAGAAGGTTCCCGTCGACATCACGTTTGCGGTGCGGGATGGCCGGGGCTACCTGCCGGGGTCAGAGGTCAGTGAACACCTGAGGAAGCTCAGCCTGGTGGAGTTCAGCTTCTACGTGGGATTTCCTGCGCTGCAGATCGCTGAACGTACGAGACGATACACAAACCCATCACACGTCACAGTAAACATTAAACCGACAATATGTAAAGCGTTTTTATCAAACTTCTGTTAACAGCCTTTCACTACCCTGAGCTCAACACTTCACACCACCTGCGCTCCACCTGGGTCCGTACAGGTAAGAAACCCACTCTCTTCTTTTTTTTACATTTTGGTATGATGTTTTTGTACTGTGTGGATGATGGTATGTGTTAGCTTCGCTCTGACGAACTCCCCTTTGTGTGGTATCAGTCCTGCTGGGAGTTCAGGAGCAGCTGGTGGCTGAGAGAAGCTTTAAGGCTCGTCTGGAGAGACGCCTGGCTCTGCTGTTGGAGGAGGGACTGCAGGAAACCAGTAGGAGGCGCTGGAAGAGAGCCACAGCAGTGGGCAACAACAGTCTACAGGTACACGCACAAGGCAATGATGGCTGATGTAATGCCACCAGACAGAGGTGTGTGTACCTGTACAATGTGAATGTGCACTGAACCGGTTGTGTCTCAGGTGGTGCGGGTCTCCAGGCTGTCAGGGGCAGAGCGCCCTCTGGAGGTCTTTTACTTTGTGGAGGGTCCCGGTGGAGAGAGGGTCCCTGCTGAGGTGACCGCCGCCACTCTGAACCGTGTGGACCTTCAAAGGGCCGCCATTGTCCTTGGACACCGTGTGCAGAGACCGCTGGCCCAACGTGAGTCTAATGCTGAGTGTGTCCAAACTGCTTCTGATTGGTTCAGAAAGTGTCATATTGATAAAGTTTGATCTTTTTGATTCTGTTTCCAGCTGTGGAGACGATCTCTGTCCCTCCAGCTGAGACTCAGAGCAGCAGCATCTGGCTGATTGTCGGTGTTGTTGTCCCGGTTGTACTGGCCGTCTTCATCATCATCATCCTGTACTGGAAGCTCTGCGGTTCCGAGAAGCTTGAGTTCCAGCCGGACGCCATTAACACCATCCAGCAGAGGCAAAAGGTCAGAGGTCAACAAAAAGGACTTGCACTTTAAAATTAACAGGCGATGACACCTGGTGTTTTTCTGTCCTCTGCGTTTGCAATCTTAGGATTTTAGCCACCAACATGATGTTTTTGTTACCTTACTGACCCCCTGATCCATATCCTCTGTCAGCTTCAGGCTCCCAGCGTTAAAGGCTTCGACTTTGCAAAGCTTCACCTGGGTCAGCACAGTAAGGATGACATCATGGTGATCCAGGAGTCCGGTCCACTTCCTGCACCAGTAAAGGAAGCCACGCCCTCCGATGGCGGAGACCTCAACACCCCCAAATCCAAAGGATCATCCACCAAGGTGTCGCGGCCGAGCCGCCGCAGGGGGAGGTTAGAAATATGTTGTGACTTATTAAACAAACTTGTTAAAAAATATAGAATATGAACTTCACTGGCTCGTTGACATGATTATTTTTCATTCAGAGAAATCGTCGACATCGAACATTTTTACTGAAGTATCTCAAAATTTTACTTAATCCGGCAGCTGTGGCTACAATGTAGCTTGCCATCGCCAGTGTGTGAATGGGTGAATGACTGAATGTAGTGTGAAGCGCTTTGGGGTCCTTAGGGACTAGAAAAGCGCTATACAAATGCAGGCCATTTACCTGTTGTGTCCATTGTCAGGCTCAGCCCATCAGACGGCGACTCGTTAGGAAGCGACCAATCGAGCGGCAGGGAGTCAGCAGAAGAAAGCACCCGACCTGTGGCCACACCCAGCGAGGGGAAACAGCACAGGAAGACACCCAAAAATGGTGAGAGCCACAGTGACATAATCAGCTTTAGTATTTGTAATGAATAGGCTGTAAACAAAGGATGGAGGCTCTGCTCCGTTCAAACTTTGTCTTTTCTGTTTAATGCACTGCCTACTTGAAGGGAGGAGCAAAATGGGTACGTTACCATGCCAACACATTACCACCTTCTCACACACCGATCTCCAATCCACATTTCCTATCAACACGTGAAGCATTGCGATGCTGCAGAGACAAGAGCTCAACCTTTAAATTCACAGATTAAACAATAATAATAATTAATCTGTGACTGTGTCAAATCGATCCGTCTCCAGTAATCACAGTACCAGCGACAACAATACCTTAACTCATAAAGGGAAGAACAGGTCCTGGTTTATGAGGCGAGTCATCAGCAGTAAGCTAAATCTGAATACTGATCATCACTAAATGATGGAGCGAATTTTACTTTCCACTCTTACTTTATTAACTTCTCTTTTTTCTTATTCTTGTACACTTGGAATATACATGCTTGTTGTCTAAATGTTTATATTCAGACTTCTCTATAGTTTGAAGGTTATTTCTGGTAAAATAATTTCTCTGACAGTAACAAACACAACCCTGAGTAATGCTGAAGATCTGACCGCAGTTGTGGCTGAAGCATCGCTGCCCCTCTGTCAGCCTCCTGGATGTCCTCTGCATGTGACCTCTGACCTCTGTGCTGGGGGTCTTGGTCTGTCTGAGGGATTTCCCTCATTCTCTCTTTGTTTCTTCTGCTGCTTATTCTGGGAAAAAGTTTTTTTCTCCCACTTCATCATTATCCTTATCATCGCCATATTCATCTCCTTGTTGGTTGCTTGTCACTTTTTATCCTTCTGCAGTAACTGCAGCTCTGCACACATAAACACGTTTATTTCTGCTGTAAAGCTTTAACATGGAAGTCTATGGGACTGACCTACTGACTGAATGGGTTAAATGCAGAGAGGGATTTTCCCCACGGGGACCAATAAAGTACACCTTCTTCTACTCGCTCTGCAAGCTTTCAGTAGATGGTCACTGGTGAAATGCATCCTGGGAGTCTGAGCTTTCACTTCTCTGTTGGTCTTTAAGTCTCCTTTCACTTTTTTCTGTCCTCTGACCTCTCCTTCCACAGGTGCTCCATCAGGCAGCGGCCCGGACGAACTGCTGTCCTCGTCCTCCATCTTTGACCATGTGGACCGCCTGTCCCGCGGGTCATCTGACGGCACCCGTCGTCAGGCCAACAAGGTGCAGCTCATCGCCATGCAGCCACGTCCGAGCCCACCGCAGCCACATGCCCCATCACAGCCAAGCCCCTCCCTCACTGAAAAGGTCAACACAGAGGTGAGTTGACAACAAAAATACATCCAGTCACAGCTTGCCATGAGGTCATCATCATTAACTGTAGTCAACCGTCTCTGTTCCTGCAGGTGGCGCTGCGGCACAAGTCAGAGATCGAGCATCACCGGAACAAACTGCGACAGCGTGCTAAGAGGCGGGGCCAGTGCGAGTTTCCCTCCATGGATGACATCATGGACGCATTTGGAGATGGTCCAGTTCAGAGTGAGGCGGCACAGAGACTCTACAGCTCTGCCCACGACCACATGGACTGCATCCTGCAGGCCGATGATGCCTCACCCCCAACTCCCACCGACTCCAGGAAAAGGTCAGACCCTACCTGAGGTGAAAAAAGAATATTTCATTCTCCATGAACAACTGCTTCTGTGTGACTAAAGCGAAAGCTGACTCAATTCCCTCAAAGACAAACGTGTTCTCAGACTTCCTTGACGCATGCTCAGTCACACAGGTAAGGAAATCCCAGAAAGTTGATTCTGTTCATCTGGACATAGCATTACATTTGCATAATGACCAAAACTTGCAGCACTGATTTAATTGATTGTACAGTTTATAAGGTTGGGGGAACCTGCAGGCAGCAAAGACAGAAGAAGTGGATGATGATGAAATGTTTCTCTCACTGAAAACACTACATCCAGATGAATGGGACTGATGTCCTCAGAAGGACACATAGTCAATACTCTTGTCAGTCCTTCAGGGTTGGTGCATGTCTTTGATCCTATAGGTAATATTCATGAACATGACCTCAAAGGGTAGCCAGGGTGAAGAAGGTGTGCATTTTGGGAATCTTAGCATTTTATCCCTGCTCTTTGCAAATGATGTTGGTCTTGGAGGCTGTGTGGACAATAGCTGATTTTTCTCTTTGGGCTCGCGGACAAAAAGGGGAAGGTGGAGCTTGAGATGGACTGGTGGATTGGTGCTCCATGCAGGAGTTGTACCGTACTGCTGCTGTGAGGTTAAGAAAGAGAGCTTATCTCGAAGATGTCCGTTTCAACCTGACACAGGAGGAGCTCAGAATCGAGCCATGCTCCTTCTCATATTTAAGACATACCAACCGCATCCCTGTTAGCACCAAAGCTAAGCTCATTATTGTCCCATCTGTTTCCAGCCTGACTGTAAACTCTTGTGTTTTTTTGCCAGAGGGAGGCGCTCTCCTAGGAGTCGGCGGGCTCAGCCAGGACCTGGAAGTCTTCCTGACACGGACAGAGACCGGCTGCTCACCGATCAGAGCGCCACCTACAGGAAATACCCCGGACTCAACAACGTGGCCTACATGGTGAGGCAAACAAAATTTAACCATCAAATAAGCAAGGTAGGTGTGAGCTGGATATGTTGCCTGTTCTAAGCATTCACAGACACACATAATATTTGAGTGTTTGGAGGTACACAGCTGATCTGATCTGTTACTGATGGTGTCGTCAGCATGACGTGGACAGAGCTGTACACTGTTACTGAACTCTGAGTGACACAGGAAGTCTTTTTTGAGCCCTGTGGACTTTTTTTGTAAGACAGCAGAGCGCTGACTTGATGTTCTACTTCATTTCCTACAGTCGGACCCCGACCTGCCCCCGGACCACGGCAGCCCCTCCCCCACTGATGAGGTCTTTGACCCTGCCCCGGCCCCGCCACCCTACATGCCCCCCCAGCCCTCCATTGAAGAGGCCCGGCAGCAGATGCACTCTCTTCTGGATGACGCCTTCGCCCTGGTGTCGCCGTCCTCGCAGGGCAGCGCCGGGGTAAGCTCTGCCCTGCCCAGCCCCTCCCCTCAGAGCTGGCCCCCAAACCAGCAGTGGGGCTCTTACCCAGCAGCCCCCCCTCACAGCCCCTTCTCTGCAGTGAGTGTGTGGACCTGCAGATGAAGCAGATACTTCTGTCAGGAACTCGTGCTCTGGTTTAATTCTCTTCTTTCTCTTCTTCCTGCAGAGATATGCAGAGCTGGGGATGTCCCCCACCTCAGTCCAGGGCCTCCTGCAGAGGTTAGTATCAGAATACAGAAGATTTGGTCCAGTCTGAGTACTAGGTCAGAACCAGAGCTCATTCTCTGTGTGTTTCTACAGGCAGGGGCTGAGCTCAGGAGGGTATGTGTCTACTGGAGATCAGCTGCAGGAGTCCATTTACTCCAACAGGGGGCAGTATGAGGACCCACCCTCCTCCTCTAGACCTCGACCTGTAGGAGGGAGCACAGGTACAGTCACAGCCATCAACAAATAACAGCTCACCGTGCTTTCAGTTTATATGACCTGACAGCAGGTATCTACTTTTCATGATGGGGGGTTCATAGAAGTCACTGCAGCTATATACATGACCGGCCCCCTGCTGGGCAGCGACAGCACTGAGGATGGCCTCAGTGAGTCAATAAATACATTCAGTTCTGTAACTTTATGCCATGAAATATACAGATTAAAGTAAAATGAATGAATCAAATCTGAGTCTAAAATATTCTCCTCTTATTTTCACTTTCTGACGTGTTTTAGATCCTGAACTTGTCTCAAACAGTCAAAATGTGCAGAGGTAACCCATAATACAGCTGACTGGTCATGCGGTAGAGGCTGCCCTCTGGTGGTGCCATACACTACAACAAATATACAGCATTTCTAACAGTTTAGGAAAGAAAGAATTATCATTCTCTCAAGATTTCTGAAAAGAATCATATTGTGTGTGAATACCCAGAGACTGTAGATCAGGTTAGTTAATGTGGGACGAGGCATTTTTTTCTCATGACTCTGACAATAAAGCCAAAGGTAACAAACCTCACATGACTTTGTCTGTATTCAGTTTGTTTCCACGCAGGCTGATGATTTACTAATGTTGTATCTGCTGACTGGTTTCACTGACCTCCAGGTGCACAGCTCCATCACCTGACCCAGGTGGGTCTGTCCAGTCAGATTGGTGCATACCCTGGGGTGGGTCGCAGCATGTCGGGCCCCACTGGCTCTAGCTGGAATCAGCAGCATTCAGACCAGGACCTTTCCAGGCCGGGAGCCAGCAGAGAGAGCGTGAGTGGTGAAATCAGTAAAGAAAATAGCTTGGTGGTGCAAAGGTGGAGCTGAAATGTCTCACCCTTTCTCCTTTCTTTTCACAGGTGATGTCCTTTCCTGAGTTCTCCTCTTCCTCTGTTTTCCAGATGCCCAGCTCCTCATTGCGGGACCCGTCAGCTCCACCTCTCCTCCTGACCTCACCTACTCCAGAATATCCGCCTGAGGATGCATCACCATCTGCCCACACCTCCGCCTCTCTTATAAAGGCCATCAGGGAGGAGCTGCGACGTCTCGCACAGAAACAGGCGGCAGTGACCAGCTACCCGTAAACTGGTTTGGACCTCTTTGGATCAGGACTCAGCTGGTTTTGAAAGTTTTAAACCACATAGAACCTGAAAGGTCTAAGGGAAACCATGAAACTAACCAATTTACACTCTGGGCTCTGTTGAGCTAGTGTACGTCTGTGCCGGTAAACCCAAAACAAGTCTGGACCACAATCCATGTCTGAAAACTTGGACGTCTCTCCTGGAGACCTCCGGTACTTTACAGGGTCCTGAACTGTCTGTCCGTCACTCTCAGCTCTGTTTCATTAGACATGAGTTTGACTTGTATTTTCCACTGAAGTGCTTCCTAAAGAGCATCATTAATGATCATCCTTCCTGAACCTCTTGATTCAGTCGTTACTTTTTAGACATCTGGAGCAGCAATTCATTCCTGAACTTGTGGAGTAGATGGTCCTTGATGGTCTTCAACCCGATTGGCCTCTTGGTCTTCTGGAGTTTAGTCATTGGAGAGTTCATTCTGGCCTCCTGGAGTTCTTGAGGGTTTTGAGGGGTTTGGTCCAGCCTAATATTGGGGGACAGTTGGAGCAGCTGCTTTTATTAAACCCAGTTCTAACTGCAAGATTAGTATTTGAGACCAGTCTAGAGTGAACTTTATGTTGACTGCACCAGCCAGCCTTAACTATGCCCGGTGGTAGCAAACTCATTCACTCGAACATGCAAATGAAGATGGGTGTTGCGTAACAGCAAGCATTCTTGCTAACTGTTTACTTTTGGTGTTTTAGTGGTTAACACATTTACTTGGGAAATAAAAGGTCACTGGTTTAATTCTAGTTTCTTGAGGAAGGGCCTTCATTGTAAACCTCTACCACATCAAACTTGTACAGCTGTTGTGACCCCCTGTGGTAAGAGAGCAGCTAAAAACAGCTTTTTTAATTTAGATGAAAGTAAATTTAAAAAAAAATTACTACAAATAAGAAAATTGAAACATCATTAGTTATCTCAAGGACACACTGATCGCCAAGCAGTCTAACGTGATAGAACATGAGAAGCATGGCATTAGGACCTAAATAAGTCATTTTATTGACCGGGCATAGACAGAAGACCTCCTGGGTAAAACAAGGATATGGTCATGTAATTGTTGATGCTCATGAAGCACAAGTGTGATAAAGTGCAGCACGACTAAATGCTCGGTCATGGACCAACTCAAACTTTAAGGCTCTCCAGTCAGTTCAAACAGATCAAGAGAGTCAACTCCTCGTTGTTGTATCTGTAACAGTCTGTCTAGCTTGCTTGTTGTAAAATTAATTTATTGCTCATAGAAACAAATGCACAGTGGCTCCGTGCCTCAGAGGGTCCTGGTTTTGAGCTTGGGTCGGATCTGCTATGCAGTGGTTGTATGTTTTTGTTGTGCTGGTGAAGTTTTCTCCGGGAGCTCGAGTTTTCTCAGTGTTGATGAATGTACTAGGTCAGGTAGCTTATCTTGTTTCAAATCAGTCCGCTAAAAGAGTGTATAGTTCTCAACAATTTCATTTTCTGGTTTGAAGAACATGCCAAGATTTGCAAGAAGACTTAAGGCTGAATGGTGCAACTACCAATACTTCTCAGGCCTGACTTAGAACATCAGGTTATGAATACCTTCTTAAGTTAGTGCAACCAACCTTTGGAGAAGAACTTCCTTCTTCTAGTCTTTCAGAACTTCGTGATCGTTCCTGGAGTTCTAGAGTGAATGGATCTCCAGGGAATCTATCCGATGGAACCTCTGCGAAGTGCTGTCCTTAATGGCCTTCTGGTGGTTCATCCTATTGGGGTAGATGGTTATTCTTGACCTTTTGAGTGGATATTTCCCTCTGGACCAATTCCTCCTAAAGTTCTGAAGTGGATTGATTCTCTGGACCTTCTGTGGTGCTAACTGTCAGCCTCATACCATCTTGTCATTAACCACTAATTGCCTTCCACACTCCCATCAGCCACGGTGGTCAGGTGTCTGTTCATAAACCATATCAATGAGGTCTTTGCACTGTCGACAGCTGGAGGTGCCGCACAGTTCCTGCTGCACGGGGATGCAAAACAAGAAAAATAATATTTATAGCTATCTATAAGAATGAATAAATATATGTAAAGAGATAGAATCCCAATGAGCACAATATTAATGTAAGAGTTATTACTGGAGTATTGAGATGTTACTTATTTTTTATTGCTTATATATGAAAGTATACTTTAAATGCTTTATTTTGATCAAAAAAAAAGACCAAACTACTGTTCTATGGTTGTAATCCTCTTGTGTTTAAGCTCGCTGTAGATTTTGAGCTAACATTTGTTTCTCTGTGGAAACGTTGCTTAGCGTAGCCGCTCGCTCATGTATCGGTGGCAATGAAAAAAAATTCAGCTAATGCATTGCTTTGGTATCGAGCTTTTTGTCGCTGATTTGTTGCATCCATCAGTCTGTGAGCAGAGCGCTGTAGACAAGTGGGTAAAAAGTGTTTGTGAGAGAGGGGAACTAGTCGTTCATCACCGCCGCAAGGTGGTTCTTCCTCAGACGAGAGCTGCTTCATAAACTCACTGAGAGATGTCTCGTCAGAGCTGCCTGATGATCCTGATGAAGGGAAAAGCAAATAGTGATAAGGTTTATATTTCCAGGACTCCAGGCTGATCTTTTGTCTCACATGTAGAACACGTCAGGAAGTGCTCATTTCAGCTGTACTCTTCAGTGATACTCTGAGTACACTGTGTGGTTCAGGTGAGGGATCTGCCCAGGAAATTTCCCATTATGTTAGCTTCATTGTTCTCACATGAAATACAGACTTCATGCCAGGACATTGCAGGTAAAGGTGTTAATGTTTAACCTGCAGCTCTATTGGGCGATTAAGAGCATAAATAACTTTTCGTTGTTTCAGCCTGTGGCTGAATCCTCACACTCCCCTGAAAGGTTCGCACCGTTTCATCAGGGGAGGAAAATAAGGTTTGTCATTACTGACCTTTTATACTAGTGAATATTTTTATTTTTATTATTGACCTTGTCCAGTGAGTGAAGTCTGCAGAACGTTCTGGAAGCTTGTAGAAGACCGCTTTGCAGACATGATTGTAGATCCAGAGAAATGTCTCTCCATGTGGACCTCCTGATATTGTCTCTGCATCTATTGTTTCAACCTTTAGTTTCATGTCCTGGCTGCATAGCTGAGCGGCTGGTTCCTCTCTTTGCTGATTGGCTGTCCTCTCTGTGGTGTGTTGGTGGTCAGTCACTCATGGTAAAGGTTTGTTTGCATCTGCTCTCTGCTCTTCTTCAGCATGTTCAACTAAGTTTGAGGCTTTAGCTATTTGTGGTGTTGCAGTTAATGTTTAGCATGCTGCCAAAAGATGTAAAAAAAGTGAAGAATCGTTCCACATCCAGTTAAGAGTGAGCAAAGAGTGATTCATGTCACAGTGCCATGAAAGCACCGTTCATCCAAGCACAGCCAGAAAAAACACACCATGAGAACCATCATGTTTTTGTTTTTTAGGAGATTTTTGAGTCTGAATGAAGATACTTATGGTTGGAGTGGATATGATGTTGAATAGAAACCTATTATATACGGAAAAGATTTTATCTGTGATTGTTCTGCTGAACAGACTCAAAGACACAACACATTCGTCATGAACCAGAAACCAACTGCAGAACTCTTTACCTGCTACAGACGATCTGATTGGACCTAGCACCTGTCAGTCACGCTGTAGGACTCAGCAATGCCTACAGGATCAAATGGTGCTAATTCAATGACTCAAGGTGTCTGAAACGATCAGATCACCTCAAAAATGGAAAATAATCCTGCAGGTGTCCGAATAGCAAAGAAAAGTCTGACTTCTCAGCAAACTCTTCATAAACTTCTCCTGAATGTTTCTGTTTTCCAGAGACTCTGTTTTCTAGACCTGTGATCCTCAGTAAGAGTCCAGCAGATGAGCAGACGCTCAGAGGATGATTTTTCATGACAAAACTACTGATCAGCACTCTGAGACCTGCTGAAGTTTGCGGGGATCACGGTTGCTCCCCTCCGTGCAGGCCGAGCCGGTCCAGTTGCTGTCGTGGACAAAAAATATGAAACTGTGGAGGTATTGTACAGACGAGACAGGAGCTGTAACTTTCCATTCCGACTTTATTCATCTCCACACAACAACTGAACACATTGTGCCAAAAACCAGCAGAACCTCTCCTCCCGACCTTGGTGTGAGTGGAGCCCTCTGGTGGGCCACCACAAAACTGCAAAAACTGCTGCAGAGCAGATCAGCAGCTGCAGGTGGAGGTGATGGAGTCAAGGCACAGGAAGCATGTGGTCAGCTGATCATTAGCTTTAGTGGGGAGAACTTTGAAAACAGATCTTTGAGACAGATCATTTGTCAAACAGATCTTGCGCAGACTGCAGCTGTCGGTGGATCTCCTTCAGAAGCTTTTAAAACAAACCTGCTGCTGCATTGGCACATTTTTAAAACTTATCAGTTTCAACTTTGTTCTGTTGTTTTTGAACAGAGTTTAAAGGATCTGATAATTATTTGTTTCAAAATTTTAAACCGATTCTATGTTTTAGCTACTATTCCAGCTTTTCCTGTTATCTCAAACTGCCCGCTAAAATAAGAGCTTGGACAAGCTTTCCCCTGCCAAAATCAGTAGCTGTATCTGCACCAGCAATTGAAACTGTTTTCAGGTGTTGACCATTGACCTGCAGAGAGCTTTGCTTTCGCCAGGGTTTCAGATTTCCCCTCTGTCAGTAGTTTTGTCATGAATGAACTTCTGTACGGCTGCTCCGAGTCGAACCACATTCCTGTTGTTCCTCTTCAGGCTCCGTTTCCACGCACCGCCTCGCCGATTTACACACTTACACCAGGTGAGAGCAGGCCCCAGGTGTGGTTCAGGTAACTTGGTGATGCTGCTTCATGGAAACAGAGCCTGGGGGAGTTCTTTTAATGTCGAGTCAGTGAGCTGGGAACACTGCCAGCAGCCTCACCTGTTCCACAGTGGCCAGATAAGTGTGCCGCTAACCTGTGCGGGTCACATTGATAGGATCTGTTCTACCCTGCCTCTGTGTGAGCTGCACCCTGTGGTGTTTCAAGTCTGACAGACTGTGTTCAAAACATTAAAGAGACATGTTCAGATTCAGAGAGGCTGACGGCTTTTTCTTCATTCTTCGACGATTCAGTTTTCCTCTGATGCGCTGCACAGCATCTAATCTGTCTGATCCCTCCAATCGGCCAACGCCTCATTCCAAGACCACACAGCTCTGCATATGGAGGCCCATTTCTGGCACAATGACACTGACTCATGGGACAGAGTCACCAAGTTTAATAGCAATACTGTAATCTAAACAAACAGCTCATTTCTAGAAAGATCTGAAGTTTAGGAACAATTTGTTAAGAATAAAGTCATAAGCACACAAATCCTCATTAACATTATTTACATTTTAAATCTGGTGTCAGCAGGGATAGCTATCGCCTGCATCCACAGACTGTACGGGAGCGTCTCTTTCTCTCACTCACACACACACATCCTTCCTGGATGGTCTGTTAATACAGTAACCTCACAGTAGTCACATGACGCCATTAAAAATGCTCCAAAAGGCTCCAACAGCACAAACACAGTCCAGCGGTCCAGTTAGCAGACAGCTAACAACTACACCAGCCTGTGTGATCATCCACTTGCCAGTCAAAGAGGCCACGCCCCCTGATTTATACAGGTGAGTTTAGGAACCATCCTCCCCCTTGGAGTTGTTAAAAAGGAGGAAATTATCTATAAAGACATGATGAGATTGTGTATCAGGTTTTAAGCATGTTTATTTATGCTGCAAAGTTTTAACATGGGAGTTTACGGGCACTGACTCACTGCTGCCACTGCTGGACCTCAGAGGAACTGCAGGGATCTGTCTGTAATTACTGTCAGTGCCAGCAGGTGGAGCTTCAGGACTAAAGTTTAAATATTTGTGCTCTAACTTTCATAAAGTGAAAATATTCCAGAGGAATGTGTGATGGGTTGAGATCTATTAGGTCGAACTGCTCAGAGATTAAATTATTGATCTTGTTTTTGACCATATTGTTTCATTTGCTGACTTTCTGTCTCTCATTGTGACGTTAAATGTTGTGGAGAGGCTCTTGTTTTGTTTTTCTTCACTCAGCTGCTGATGGGCGGAACTGAACCACTCCCTGCACACAAAGCTCCCTACCCCTCCCCCCGGGCTGGCTCTCTGGTGACGACAGCACTTCCTGAATCACCTGGACAGGTGAACAGCTACGGTGTTGACCTACCTGTCGGGCTGTGACCTGCTACAGGATGAAAATAGACCTCACCGGCGGCCTCAGCGTTGAAACTCAACATCTGTGTGAGTACTGGTTTTATTTGAGAGAGAACGTTAAGGGTTCGATTCCGCTGTTGGTTCCTGTGTGAGAGGTGAAGCTGAAGTGGCTGTAGTCATAATAAATCCCGCACTCAGTTTTAATCGCGCCGGTTCTTCCCGGACCATTTACCTTTGACTGGGCTCAAAACGATTCCGTCCAGTTCATTAAAGAAGGATTAACATGTCTGTTAAAATATCTCATCATCCAGAGTTTGTATGCTTGTTTCTTTAAGGTTTGAGGATTTCTTACGTGTAGTTCAAAAAACTCATTGTCTGCCTGAAATCTGCAGCAATGTTATTTGCCAAAAAAAGACTGCTTGTATTGGTGTAAATGATTTTTGGCCTATGATATATGAAACATATGTCAAATATGTCCCTCAAATGATCTCAGGTTGTCTTGAGCCACCAACAACACTCTTGTTTTATCCAGCTAATAAGTCTCTTTGACATTAAAAGTGTGTTTTTTCAAGAGACACTTGGTTAAGATGGCAGCAGATATAACAAAGTAGTTCAATAAAGATATTTTAAGTGGCCAAAAAGGACTGGATTGGTTATAAAGCAGGTACAACAACACAGGTTCATACTTACAACATAACTTAATATATAATTCATCTCTAAATCATGTTCTCTACAGTCTGTTTACCAATATAAGTAAAGACATTACACATAAAAAAACAAACAAACATTGAAACATTGGAAATCACTTCGTTACAACACCTACTTCAGTTTCCTCCACCTCAGCTTCACAGAGAAACTAACACACCTCCCTTGTGAATAAAGCACAATCTGTGTTTGTGAGAGCAAAATGATTTTAAAAAAAAGCTTCAGAGAATGTAATAAAGTAAGCCTGACAATAATATGTTCTTTTTGTCTATTAATAACTGGTTTCAAATCCATAAATCAACTGCTCGTTTGAAACTCTGATTGGCAGCAGCTCACTGATCAGTCTGCTCAATCTCATCTTTTTCTGGAGGCGATTAATCAGTCAATAGATCAGTTTGATGGAGAAGGTGATCAGTAGTACTTTGGGACTTTTACTTTTGAAGGACTCAGCGGTGTTTGTAACGCCACCCTGAAGTCATTGGATGAACATCGGTTTTTCTACTCTGTAGACTGTAGACCCGCTGAAAGGTAAAACCAAACAGTTGTGGATTAAGCTCACTTGTTGTTCCTAGAGTATTTAAAACTAGAATGAGGCAGAGCCTTCAGTTTTCAGGCCCCTCTTCTGTGGAACCACCTTGCTGTTTGGATTCAGGAGACAGACACTATCTCTACTTTCAAAATTAGGCTTCAAACTTTCCTTTCTGCTAAAGCATATAGTTAGGGATAGTTAGTTATACTGCAATAGGTGTAGGCTGCTGGTGGATTCCCATGATGCATTGAGTTTTTCTTCTTCAGTCACCTTTCTCGCTCACTATGTGTTAATAGAGCTCTCTGACTCTCTTCCACAGCATGTTTTTTGTCCTGTCTTTCACTGTATTTGATTTTGCACTGTATAAATAAAACTGAATTGAATGAACTGAACTGAATTAAGCGTGAGTGAATGTTTGAAGAAGCCTGCAACATTGCCACAGATATGATTTTAATATAAACGATGAAATGAAGACTCAGTTTACTAATAACCGGATTAAAGTCAGCGGCGCTGCATGAAGCTGAAACTCTGCTCACAAATGTTCTGGCTCATGTATCTGCAGACGGTTGAACCTCAGACGGCTGAAAGGAAGACTTCTCATTTCAGGATGAGTGACTCTATGAAGACTCAGCTGGTGAGCTCCATCCATCTGCAGGAGGTGGAATTGCAGGAGAAACCTGCCGACGACAAGCAGGACAGCAACAATAGCAACAATAGCAACAATGGTGAGTCTGATAATCGATAATCAAACATCTGGAGATGATGTGATGCCCTTGGAAACATTGGAGGGTCCTGTGAGGCCCTTTGAAACGTTTCCTAAAAAGGTTGTGATGTTATTGTGAATGAACCTGTCTGCAAAAACTGCAAAAACATCAGGAGAAGCACAGTAGGTTTCTGCCATGGGCAGGTTTTAACGGTCAGTTTCACTACAGAGACCTTCTTTGTACTTTATTTCAGTCCAGTTTTATTCCTAAAGTACTTAACAGCAGAAGTGCGATGCTTTATTCTGAAAGGTAAAGACTCGAATTCCTGTTCAAAGAATTTCCTTTGAACAGGAAGAAACCTCCAACAGAACCAGGATCAGGCGGTCCTGATCAGGAGCATGCTGGGACTCCTCTGCAAGGAGGTTAAAGCTCAACTGTTTTAGGATCATATCAGTCCACCACAGAAGAACTAGTTCTCACCACCTCATTTCCCTCATTATGAAATTAAAAGTGTCTGTCACAGCCATTCTGAGCAAGAGGAAGGTGGTGATGTTAGTTGATGTATTGATTGATTCTTGCAGCAGATAAAACGTTTACAGTGGAGGATGCCGTGGAGAAAATCGGCTTCGGGCGTTTTCACATTCTGCTGTTTGTCATCATGGGCAGCTCCAACGTGAGTAATGTTTATGCTCAGCAGCAAAATACTCAGAGTATTTAAAGTAATCAGGGTGCTCACTGTTGTGCTCGTGTTTGTGCGCAGATCGTGGAGGCGATGGAGATCATGTTGTTAGCTGTGGTTTCTCCGGAGATTCGATGTGAGTGGCGTCTGGATGACTGGCAGGTGGCACTCGTCTCCACTGTGAGTCACAGCACACAGACTGATCTGCTGATAATTTATTGATTAATCAATTAATTTGCGTCAACCAGTTAGGCTGAAACCTCTGAACTCTCAGAGGGTAACCCTGACCTCAGTGGGGCTTTCTTTAGCATGGCTTGACTTTATATGGTCAGCAGCTCTGAACAGGTCTCACTGATCGATCACGTTCACAGTCAGCAGAGCAGCTTCTTGTTTCATTACATCAGAGGCATGTGAGCTCATTAACGTGATGGCTATATGAAAGTGCTGCAACACTTCTCTCTGTGTCCTCAGATGGTTTTTCTGGGCTTCATGGTTTGTGGAGTGTTGGGAGGATACATCGCCGACCGATACGGACGCTGGAAGGTCAGAAACAACCGACACGCAAGGTCGCAGCTGGAGTCTGTGCACTGATTGGTTGACTGCTGGTGTGTGTGTGTGTGATCCAGGTCGTGTTCGGTGGCTTCGTGTGGAGTGCGTACTTCTCGCTGCTCACGTCATTCGCACCGTCGTACGGTTGGTTCATCTTCCTGCGTGCCATGGTGGGCTGCGGCGTAGCAGGAGTGTCGCAGGGGTCAGCTCACACACACAAACATTACGCTGAACATCCTGCAGTCTGATTGGCTGGATGGTGGTAAGCTTCAGTGGCTGCTCTTATTGATAGTGTCTCTGTTCAGGTTTGTGCTGAAGACCGAGTTCATCCCGGCAAAGCATCGAGCCACCCTGCTGCCTCTGGCCACCGTGAGTTCATCCTTTCTTTGAGTTTCACTGGTTTCCACAAAAATAAAGACGAGGAAGTCAGAATCATGTTGACCACAAAGTACTGCTCCATCTGGGAGACCTCGCAGAGCGAAACATCACAGAGGTCCTAATGAGTGTCCACACAGGAAGCGATCATCAGCATCACTTTATCACTGACAGTTGGTCGCTATCAGACACTACAGGCTGAGGTTGCCTGGGTAACCCACCGCTGTATATCAGTCAACAGTATTTGTGACTCCGTTGGTCGTTGCCTTTATTGCTTACCTGGAAGTTGATAAAAGTTTTACTGAGGGATCACCCACTCCCTGTCACCAGCTGTTATTTCGCTCGCAGTTCCTTCCTTACTCTGCTCTAATCCTCATCTCTAAGGTCATGTTTTGGAAATCAGATATTGTGATAGAACAGAAGTTGAGAGGGTTCTAGTGCCCATTACTGAGGACCTCACAGGGTTAAATCCAGTGTTTTATTTGACCTTCATAATAATCATGGGCAATAGCAGCTTGACGCAGATTTTATTACATGGAAAACTCAACATGCTCAGCATAAAAGATAAAAACATAAAAGATGAGTAGGTCTATTATCTTTTTAAGGCAATACAATCAAAGAAACACGTGTCAGTGTATACATGCAGTTATTAATCACAGTCTTGTGTAGATAATATTCTGTTTTTAAAGAGATGTGAGAAAGATAAAGTTTTAGATGTCCAGCAAATACAAAACATCACAAGGCGACAGCAGCAAAGCTCAGAGTCCGTCTCTAAAACACGTACATGTATCATAAATCACAGATAATGGTCTGTTGCCAGCCTTATTTTAATGCTTAATACCTGTCATGGAGAGAGCACAGCTCCATGGGTAACAGCTTCAGCTCACGTCACGTTGTTTGTTTGTTTTTCTCCCATGGGGTTTTCAAAGGCATCCTCAAACTCAGCTTAGTTACCTGTATGGTGTGATGTCATCAGTTCAGATCTCCCAGCATGCTCCCTGTTTGTGTGTCAGATATTCTGGATGCTGGGCTCCATGCTTATCATCATTCTTGGTATGCTGGTGGTTCCAACTTTGGGCTGGAGGTGGATGATACGGATCTCTGTCACGCCGAGTATCATCCTCATCTTCCTCTTTAAGGTGAGATATGCCCCTCACCTGTCCACCCTAACCTGTGCAGCAGTGCTGTGATCATTAGATTAGAAATGAATGCACATATGAACATTCAGTGTGGCAAATTAAACGAAGAATGAAAGATTCCTAAAGAGGTTTTCAAAGATGTTTAAGTCTTGCTGTAATAATTCACAGTTACTAAAAGAAGTGAGGGATGATTTGGAGGTTCTGATGTAGTTTGTCAGGTTTTAGGTTGTTGGTTGTTAAACTAAAAGTGCCAAAAGGAGAGGGGTGAACAAAAAAGAGAAGCGGAGGCACTAAACTAGTAGAAATCACATGAAGTGCCACTTAAAGCATAAGCTGGGGAAGACTAAGTTGCCACAATAATCTCATCAAGGCTAATGTGAGTTTCTGATTGCTGGATGTATTCAGGCTCGTGAACCCAGGCTGACTGCTGTTTCTGTATGTATTGATTCAAATCAGTTTATTCCTGAGTCGGCTCGTTACAACGTATCAGCAGGAAAGACTGAGGCTGCCATGAAAACACTGCACTGGATTGCTAAAATGAACCGAGCTTCTCTTCCGCCAGGACGACTCGTGGAGCCCGTCACGGTGCGTTAAGTGCAGTGAGTAAGACTTGAAATAAGTGTACCGATCTTCCTGAAAGTCGTTTGCTGAGGGAATCTTTCAGCTCCTGAAAATGTTTTGCTGTCAAAATGATTAAAAATATTTCAAAATTGTTTTATCTTAAAGTTTGTGATAACAGTCTACTGGAAAAACACTACACAGGGCAGTATGTGTAATTCACAGGGATGTCCTGATGGTGGCTCATAATATAAAGCAACTTGAGGTGATTGCCATTGTGATTTGGCGCCGTATAAATAAAACTGTTGAATTGAGTTGAATCTGAGGGTATCACTGGATTCAGTCATAGGATATTCGGTGTGAATGTTCCTGTGTGTTTCAGAGCGAAAGAGGCAGCTGGAGAATTCTGCTCAGCCCATTATTCAGGAGGACATCTGTACTGCTCTGGTACTCATGGTAATGGTATTTTATTTTTTAGTGTTTTAATAAAAGCAGGCTACATAGCCGTCACAGTAAAAGGGCATCAAAGGAGCAAATTATCAGATAAAAGCAAAAGATCCAGTGAAAGCAAACTGGAGGTTTGCACAGGTTACATTTACAGACAGGAATAGTCATGAAAAACTCAAACTGTCCAGCAGTTTTCTTCTTTAAGGAAACCAAATCAGAAAGTATGCGTGCTTTATATTAAAACATAGTAAGGTATCATAGGCATAGAGGAGAATACTGTATTATGTCTTCTGATTGGATGCCAAATAGGGAGATTTAAAGTACTAAGTTTATACAGACAAAAGTTGTCTATGAAGTGTTTCAAGCATTTCTGGAAACATTTCGTAGACAACTTAAAATGCTCCCAGCAGTTTTTTTTCCCAACCATAGACACATCCGAGGTTTGTAGAAGTCATTGAATGTGGTTGTTATACCCAGTATGTATAATCCTTCTTGGACCTGTTAAGGACCAACTTTCATTTGTTTCACTGTCAGGTTTGTGGCATCGTTTATATACTACGGCTCAGTGCTGAGCAGTTCGGAACTGTTGGAGAAGAACCTGTTGTGTGTGATCGATGCTGACAAAGAGCATCAGGTCAAACATCGCCATGAGGACGGACTGTGTTACTGCATCCCCTTTGGTTAAGGTGACTACCAGACTCTGCTTATCAGCTGCCTCGGAGAGGTTGCATGTGAGTCATCGTCAGCGAAATGCGTTGAGAGAATTTTCAGTTCATCAGTTTTTCAGCCACACTTGCAGAATAATTCCTAAAATGTACTGCGAAGGTTTGCTGCTGTGCTGTTCCCGGATCAGGTCTACTCTGACTCCTCTCTTCTATCCTCCCAGTGGTCCCAGCAAACATCGCTCTGCTCAACGTGTTTGGACGCAAGATGACTCTGACCGTGCTGCAGCTGTTAGCAGCCTTTTTCTTTATGATACTCAACATTTGCTCCACTATGTAAGAGCCCCACAGACTGGACCCCCCCGACCGGGTCCAAGTGTATGACGTCATCTCATTAGAGCAAGTCAAGGTTTGTGATGTCATCTGGTCTGTTTTGGTCGTGCAGGTTTGGCTTCACGGTGCTGCTGTTTCTGCTGCGGTCTCTGGTCTCCATGAACTTTAATGTGGTTTACATCTACACAGCAGAGGTACGTTCACAGTCTGCTGGCTTCAACGGTGCATTTTTTAAGGACCGGGTCTGAGGTGACAGGTGTTTTGGTTTCTCAGGTGTACCCCACGGTGGCGCGCTCTCTGGGGATGGGTTTCTGTACGTCGTTCAGTCGCATTGGAGGAATGATCGCTCCGTTCATTGCTCAGGTGCGTTGGCTGTCCTGCTTAATGATCAGAGTTTTCAGGTTTTTGGTCCAGTCTATCATTGCTTTGTGTGTACTTCAGGTGCTGATGTCTCAGTCGGTGATTCTGGCTCTCTGTCCGTTCGCTGTGGCCTGTGTGCTCTGCGCTCTAGGAAACTTCCTGATGCCAATAGAAACCAAAGGACGAGCTCTGCTGGTGAGAATGTGATTTTGTATGAGCTTTGTTCTTTTTTCTTATGTCTAAATGCCGTGGTCTGACATGATTGTTTGTTTGGATTTTTTCAGCAAAACTCCTGATGGTGTCTCCGAACAAACTGCTGCTCTTTGTTATTTCATTTTGGTTACATGTGTAAAGACTTTAAATATGATACTGACCTCAGGTGTTGCTGTGCCTTCATTAACAGCTCAAAGGGAATGAATGTTTGTTAGCATCAGTGAAGGAAACCTTACATTGTTCAGGTTGTCAGGCCAGTTATGAGCCCTGTTTCTCTGGTTTTTGTAGGATTATCTTTCACCTCCTCCTGCACTTCACATGAATCAGCTGTTACTTTATGCTTAAAAGATTCAACAGTATAACAATGTAACATTATTTCTGGCTCTTTGTATGTAAAGAATAATAATTACCGTATATTTTATAAACATATCCAGAAGGTACAGGTACAGTAGGCTCTAACAGTAATTCTGTATGCTCATTAATAAACTCCAACTATTGAACAAAGTGTTTGTGTGAGAGAGTCTACCTGTGGATGTTTTTTTCTCCTTCATGCTACAGATGTCATGTTTTACTTTGATCATATAAAACTGAATTTAATGAGAACATCCTGTGAGTGCAGTGTAAATGATCTTCCTCTGGCGCCACCTTCAGGACAAATGATACAGGCTCGCGCCTCAGGTGTGATATGAGCAGCCTCTCAAGTGCAGCTGTAACGGAGTCAAAAAAAAGAAGCTTTATAACATGTTAAGAGTTGGAGCATGTGCCAGATTTCGATGTCTCATTATGGAAATTTGTGATTGGAGAAAATGAATTAATTGATGTAAAAATAAAGAAATAAATAATCTTTTGTGGTAAACTGTAGGCAGTTCATGCTTGTCGGCCAAATAAATGCTGTTCAGATTAAAAATTTTAAAAAAGGTGATGATCGCAAAGTGAGCATGACCCTTCAAGTGACTACAGCCATATTAATGGTAAATTTGCTGGGTTAAGGTAAATGGGAATGAAGACAAATACTACTATAACTCTCGAAAATTCACAATTATTATTCATATGAAGATTACCATATTAAACTAACTATATTAAACTTGGAGCCACCTGGTCGACAAATAACGCAACTGCATTGTTAAGGTTCCTCGTGGCTGCACAACATGCCAGAGCAAAGGAAAATGATCCCAAAATGGAGACGGGTGCAGGTGAGCAGCATTGGTGTTTCTGTATGTTTAATAGTGAAAATGTTCTCACAGTAGTAATAGTTCGTATGTGTTTTTGTTATAAGCACTTCTAGCATGTACCCTGAAAGTTACAGCTCTAATAGTGGAGCTCTTTTGGAGCTCTTAATAGTAAGTTTATTTACAATTAGTACTTATGGTTAGCATGCTAAGCTAATACTCGTTAGCCTGTTGGGTGCTTACTGGCTGGCTCCTGGCTCTCATGTTTTGTACGGGAGTACATCACAGGTCAGGCTAACATGACCGGGCTGGATACAATAAAATTATATCTAAACGTTACTGTGTGTGTTTTCATTGAAAAATAATACATGAAAATATTTTATAAATTACCTGCACTATAGCAATATGTGCGGCTATATAAAGAGCCACCGGCAGGAAATAATCGCGGGAATAGTTTGTGGTATCGGTGGTTCATCTGCTGAGTAAAAAGATAAGAAAAGGAAAATGGATCGGGTGCTTGTCACAGTTGCTGCTGGCATTATGTACCTTAAGGCTGAAGAAGAAGCAGCGCAACTGAGAAGATCCGGGAGAGAAGAGCCAGAATGAAGATGAGGGGGAGGAGACGTGCCTTGATGGCGTGCCTTCTTCACTCAGTACATTTTTAAAAATAACTAATAGACGAGGCTGCCCGTCGCCTGGGGGACGTCGTATGGTAAGGTCATCGTATAATGATCTTCCCGGACTACTCAAAGTTGCTGAGTGAGAAGCGGAATACGTTTAATGAGTGCAAGAAGCTTCTGCACAACAAACGTATTGGTTTCTCCTTAATTTACCCAGCAGTGCTTGTTGTGAAAGCTCCTCAGGGATCCCGTCGCTTCGAGGACCATAAAAAAGCAATGACTTTCATTCACCCCATGGTGTAAAACCGGTTTGCTTGCCTGTTTGTTTTTGTCGTTTTTTGTTGGGGGTTTTTTCCCTTCATCTGTCGCTTTTGTTTATTTTTCTGGGTAGTAATTTTCTCCTGTTTTGTTTTTTGTTCTTTGTTTGTTTGTTTTTGTTGTTTGTTTGTTTGTTTGTTTGTTTGTTTGTTTGTTTGTTTGTTTGTTTGTTTTTGTTTTTCCTAGACCCCAAAGTACTGGAAAAGGTCGTGGCTCCAAAACTCCATTAATAAAACCTTATTAATGGAGTTTTTATTATGTTTAGAGAGAGATACAAATGATGATTATTACGTGCTCGCTTCATTTTCATATTAAGGACAATTCTGGAGGTTAACTCAGACCTCTTCTCTAAACTGAATTGGACACAAGGTGGAGCGGTGAGTTCATACCCTTAGTGGATCTATTGTACTGTGTCCATTCTCAATGTTCTGTTTGTTAAACTGTATTATGAGCATTAAACTAGAACAAAGTTTGGTTTGGAATGTATGTTTTATAGATAAGACTGTAGATCCAGTATATTCGATTGTGGGATTTTTTATTTTTTTATTTACACATTAACAAGAGAATTCTCAGTAAAACCAAAGTTACTTTCCCTAGTAACTAGTAAAGCAGGGCGATATGACCAAAAATATTTATCACGATATACATTTGAAAATTTGCGATAACGATATAACTGACGATATAATTGACACTAGACAAAATACTTTACAACTTCACAACTTTATTAGTGAAAAAAAAAACCCATAAATGTATTTTCACTTAAATACAAGCAGCTGTTTTTTATGTGCATTAAAGTTATATAAAAATTTAACAGTGCAAATGCAAATTTCTCGCTGACAGTTCAGTTTCAGAAAAATCAAAGGATTGATTTTAAGTGTGCCCGTATTTTCCAAAAAACACGGTAATAACCACGGCCCGCTAGCATGCTCTACCAGAAATAGTGTTTTGTTGTGTATCTGACGGATGAAAGCTAAACCAGTTCCACACCACTGAAGTTGCAGCATTTTTACAAACCAATTCTGGTTCAATTCTCTGCAATGTTGCGTGGAGATCAGGGGCAGTGCCTGTGGACTGGCAGACCGGGGTGGTGGTCCCCATCTTTAAGAAGGGGGACCGGAGGGTGTGTTCCAACTACAGGGGGATCACACTCCTCAGCCTCCCTGGGAAAGTCTATGCCAGGGTGCTGGAGAGGAGAGTTCGTCCGCTAGTCGAACCTCGGATACAGGAGGAACAATGCGGTTTTCGTCCTGGTCGCGGAACACTGGACCAGCTCTTTATCCTCTCGAGGATACTTGAGGGTGCATGGGAGTTTGCCCAACCAGTCTACATGTGTTTTGTGGACTGGAGAAGGCATTCGACCGTGTCCCTCGGGGTGTCCTGTGGGAGGTGTTGCGGGAGTATGGGGTGTCTGGCCCATTGCTACGGGCCATTCAATCCCTATACAACCGTTGCAAGAGCTTGGTTCGCATTGCCGGCAATAAGTCGGACTCGTTCCCGGTGGGTGATGGGCTCCGCCAGGGCTGCCCTTTGTCTCCGGTTCTGTTCATAATTTTTATGGACAGGATTTCTAGGCGCAGCCAAGTGGCGGAGGGCTTTCGCTTTGGTGGCCTCAGAATCTCATCTCTGATTTTTGCGGATGATGTGGTTCTGTTGGCTTCATCGGGTGAGGGCCTCCAGCTCGCACTGGAACGGTTCGCAGCCGAGTGTGAAGCAGCGGGAATGAGGATCAGCACCTCCAAATCTGAGGCCATGGTTCTCAGCCGGAAAAGGGTGGAGTGCCCACTCCGGGTCGGGGATGAGTTCCTGCCCCAAGTGGAGGAGTTCAAGTATCTCGGGGTCTTGTTCGCGAGTGATGGGAGAAGGGAGCCGGAGATCGACAGACGGATTGGGGCTGCAGCTGCAGTAATGCGGACGCTGCACCGGTCCGTCGTGGTGAAGAGGGAGCTGAGTGTAAAAGCGAAGCTCTCAATTTACCGGTCGATCTACGTCCCTACCCTCACCTATGGCCACGAGCTGTGGGTAGTGACCGAAAGAACGAGATCGCGGATACAAGCGGCAGGAAATGAGCTTCCTCCGAAGGGTGGCTGGCCTCTCCCTTAGAGATAGGGTGAGAGGTTCGGCCATCCGGGAGGGGCTCAGAGTAGAGCAGCTGCTGCTCCACATCGAAAGGAGCCAGCTGAGGTGGTTCGGGCATCTGCAAGGATGCCCCCTGGGCGCCTCCTGGGGAGGTGTTCCAGGCATGTCCCACCGGGAGGAGGCCCCGGGGCAGACCCAGGACACGCTGGAGAGATTATATCTCTCGGCTGGCCTGGGAACGCCTTGGTTTCCCCCGGACAAGCTGGAGGAGGTGGCTGGGGAGAGGGAGGTCTGGACCTCTTTGCTTAGGCTGCTCCCCCGCGACCCGCCTCGGATAAGCGGATGAAAGATGGATGGATGGAAGGAATTCTGGTTCATCCATTTCATTCAACGATCCGCTTTCGCCCTTCTCATTCTGCGTCGCCGGCATGTGCGTATGAAAACAAAGGCACTGCGCATGCGCGTTTTATCCATATTCTATCGCGATATTTCATTTTCCTATCGTTGCCCAACATTACACCGGTATTACCGTGAACAGTATGATATAGCCCAGCCCTAGTAACTAGTTACTTTGAAAGTAACGAGTAACTTGAAGTAACTGAGTTACTTTTGATAGAAGTAACTAGTAATGTAACTAAGTTACTAATTTAAAATAACTTACCCAACACTGGTGACAGTGGATCAACTGAAATATTTGGACGCTCCCATTACCGTTAAAGAGATAGTGGGAGTTATTAAACACCTTCCCTCTGATAAAGCACCAGGCCTGGATGGCTGTACGGCTGGATTTTATAAATCCTCTCCAGAAGAGGAGAGGATTTAAGAGCGCCACTGCTTTTAAACACTTATAATGAATCTTTTCAAGAGCGTAGGCTCGCACCTTCACTATCTGAAGCCATTATTACACTTATCCTGAAGAAGGACAAGGACCCCACTGACTGTAAAAGCTACCGACCGATAAGCCTGACCTCCTATGATAGTAAAATTTTATCTAAAATTCTGGCTAATCGATTAAACTGGGTAATAACCTCTCTTGTACATGTAGATCAAGTTGGTTTCATAAGCTCACGCTCTTCAGCTGATAATATTAGGAGGTTAATTGACATTATGTGGGCGGTTCAGGACAGTCATTCTCCCATAGCTGCGATTTTGCTGGATGCCGAAAAGGCATTCGACAGAGTCGAGTGGAGATATCTATTTGCCACTTTGGAGTGTTTCGGTTTTACTAAAAGCTTTATTAACTGGATTCATCTTATATATGTACACCCCAAGGCATCAGTACTTACAAATGGAATAATAGGGCCTTCTTTTGAACTAGGTAG